TACTGGGGATTGAACTCAGGATTTTGCATTTGCCAGGCAGGATTTTAAGCCACTGAGCTATACGCCTGACCCAAAGTTGGTTTTCTTCTTTGCCTTCAGGATTGTTTTTTCTGATTTCATTATTCTCTCAAGCTTAATATCAAGATTGGTTGGAAAGGAGTGAAGATAGTGTCTGAGTGTGTGAAGTTGAACAGGGAAAAGTCGTTCCTTATACATCACAGTGATGCCCACCTACAGAAAGGATTCTCCTGAATCCAAACCATGGCTGCTTTGGCCTTGCATGTCAGTGGACATGACTATTTTAAGGTTATTCAGCTGTGACCTTGATTCATCCCTTTGTCTCTAATTAGGCCACTCTTTAAGTTCAGTTTGGTTCTACTGGCCAAAGATCTTAAAAGCAAGCACTAAGCTCAGACCTGTCACTCGTCCCTCTTCCCTGTCCTTAAGGATGGATCTTATCTTGTTGGTCTTGGCACATTCTTACATCCTGCATCTATGGGCCTCACATGAAACCCCCAACTGTGACCAGCTGGATGGAGGTCACCAAGGAAAACTCTCATCACACAAATCACTTCCTTTCTCAGGCTACAGCCCCCAGGCTGGGTCATCCAGAGGTTGGGAAAGTAGGACAACTTAGGCTGGAGAAAGAGATCTTGCAGGTTATTTAGATGTGTGTGTGTGTGTGTGTGTGTGTGTGTGTGTGATCCATACTGACATTGCTATTGCATCTTAGTTAAGGCCAACTTTGGAATTATCTCTTTTTCTTCTATTCCTGAAGGTCACATGCTGTGATCCAAACTACACAATTCGCCAAAATTAACACTGATGAACTAGCTTTGCACATACAATTTCATTTTCTAAGAATCAGCGCATTTCTATTTTCTGTCTCCAGATATTGCCAATTATATGTGCTTAGGGTATGGATATAGCAGGGACAAACTCAGGCACCATCTGCGTGCAGAGATGTTCCTCATATATCCTCCCCCACAAGTTTTGTTGCCTGAAATCCTCAAATGGAGAACTATGTTTTTAGTTCTACTATCTGATATAAGGCCTCTATGGCAGTATGGCGGGACAAGATGATCATTGAATATCTCCGACTAAGATTTCAACACAGTGTGCAAATTTTTGCCTGAGGCTAAACTTTATAGGTAGTTGGTGGTGAGACTGGAAGGGTGGTTAAAACTAGAAGGTCCTTGAGTCACTGAATGGATGCAGATGTCTGGAACTGCAGGAGAAGAGACATGCAGGGGAAGTGAAGACAACTTCACCTTCTCTTCAACATGGCTGGTCTATCCTTCGATGAGTCTGTCATGGGAACAGCATGCATGTGTGCCAAGCCCCTTGGTGGGGGCAAAGCTGTCTTTCTTCTCTCAGCCAATTGTAGCAGTGGCTCACACTTCAGGGTTTCCTTGGGCACCAAGCCCAGCAGCACAGAAATGGGTCTTGGTTTACATTACCCCCCTGTATTCTGACATACCACAGAGCCAGGGCTTGCTCATGAGGTCCAGTCCTCACTCAGCTAAGGAGAGAAACAGTGACCCAGCCCTGTGCTTTCAAGTCCTTTGTTCTTATGCACATTCTAGGGCAGGTGTCCCTAAGCCCATGCAATGCCGGTGGTGGGTGGTTGTGGGGTGGATGCGGTATCAAGGCAGAATCTGCTCTTGACCCAGTCACCCTTCTGGTCCTTCAAAGCCCAAATCAACTTTTAAGAGCTTCTAAGAAGAGGAAGTTTTTTTTTTTTTTTTTTTTTTTTTTTTTAAAAGTACTGTTAGAAGACCAAAGCAAACTGCCTCCTCTCATCTGTTACCACTTGTTCTCCTGCCTCACCCAATCAGCAAGCTCTTCCTCAAGTAGCTCCTTCCTTGACAGCTCTACTTTTCTCCTGATGGCTTTGGAACCATTT